TTCTATAGAGCTGCAAAGGTCTCTGGAATACAGGGAGGACCAGGTGAAGGAAGAGGAAATCAAACACAGGAATTACTGTGCCTCACACAATTATGTAGCAAACAAATCATGGGGAAATACTCAGCAACCTATACTCTGGGTTCTTCTTATTTCTGAAGCAGGTCAGTATATGGTACAGCTTTCCCCAGAGAGATCCTAACAATGATGGCCAGTCACAAGGAATGAATGTATTCTAAAATGCTTTACTCAAATTATTCATTTAAAGAAAAAAGGGTATATAATCTCAAAAGCTGTTTGTTTTCTTTTAGCTTTCCCCAGACCAGCTGGTCTTACTTCTGGAGTGCCTCTTGGAGAAGAAGACATTATGTTCAAAAATGTTGGAATGCTTACAGAAAACTTGCCACCTCCGTGAGCAGGATGCAGAGGTAACCCACTTAGAAAATGTAGTGAACTCATAAACTAGGCAAGTGAGCCAACAGTGAGGAATAGCTGCATTCTGCTGCATCCTGGATTATTTTTTAATCAATGGAAAAGTCAATCTGTCCTGAAGTCAGTACAGGTACAGCATTACTTCCATTTACTAATGAAAACCAATTTAAGCTTTATGACTATGTTTTTAAAAATGTTTGTGTTTAATAATGCATGTGTATACGTGTATGCTTATGTTGTTCGGTTAGAACAACCAAGCCAGATCTCTCCCTTGTGTCTTTCTGTTTGAAAAATATGTTCATTTGTAGAGGTTCAAATAGTGATAGGTGCCTTATATTGCAGTTCTTGCTTTTATTAAGGTAGTATCTGCTTATGTTTGCTTGATTTATTATCTACAAAGGTTGTTTGAACTAGTACTTAACCATGATCAAGGATTTTTTATTCACGAATATTAGATTGAGACTTTTTAAACATGTAAAATGCTTAGTGTTTTAGTCATACAAGTTTCAGCTAACAATTTATTCTTACCAAGTCCAGTTAATATAACAGATACTGTACAAATGTCACCAGCAGTTTTTGGAAACCTGGATTACAAGGGACTTGTTGCCTAGATTAAAGTGGGGAAAGAAACAAGAATTACATAATAATGCAGCATGGACAGCAGGTTAAACATACCACAAACAAGCTTGCACAAACAAGTCAGTGGTTGCCATGCTACATGCCCTTGAAAATTGTCCAAAACAGGGATGAAGAGTGGTTAACTGAATCTTTTAAACATATTTTGTAATGCTTTGTCAACTTCACTGCACTCCTGAACCCAAATCAAATTGCGTATTTACCTCCCAGGATCCCAGTGCCATTGTTGGAGGACTTTCTCCTTGTACCTCTGCCAAGTGAGCAAGTGACCACTGGGGAGAATACCTCTTCAGTGATAAACTCTGCTGTTAGAATGCCCCCTGACACCTTTGTATATGCTTCTTCGTGCTTTTCTTTACAAAGTGAGGAGCTTCAAACAAAATCCCAGACTGTTAAGAGTTGGAGGAGCGTTTAATAGAGCTTGAGGTTTTCTGCTCCATTAGCTGATATTTGCAGCTCCACAGATAAGACATGATCCTGCCTCCTGAATCACTGAAGCATCTATTAGACAAAAGTTGAATCTTTCCTGTAAATGCCAGTATACATGTTCTCAGTTAGGAAAAAATAAATATCTCTGCTCATTGTTTTTGAATTATCTGTTTGAGTAGTGGCTGTTGGAATTTTTCTGTATGCCCTAAGGCTCCCCCACTCCAGCATAAAGAAAGATACGTGCAAAGGGCTAGTTCACATTATCACTACAGCCTACTGTAGTCATTATTTAAGCCATGAAGGATTGTGGCACCTGCCAGCTGCCCTTCTAACTATTCAAGTTATGGTGCAAAGTCAGTGTGGCTGTTAGGTAAACTCAGCAAGAAAGGCTTATGTGAGGGTTAAACAATTCTTGTATAACCCAAGGGTTGTTTAAGCCTAGTACAAGTTATCCTTGCTGAGTAAGACTTATAGTTAAGCCTCAGTGACTTTCTGCTGTGGCTTGAATAATCAAATTGCCTGCAGCACATGCTGCGATCCTCATGGGTTAAAGAAGTCATGTTAGGTGGAATGCGCTCCCCAGAGAGGTCCGCCTGGAGCAGTCACTATATATTTCCCAATGCCAGGTTAAGACCTTTTTATTTAATCAATATTTTAATATGTTTTAATATCGAATTTTATTATTGTATTTATTAATTTGCAGCCACAGTGGGTTGTCAATTTATTTATGCTGTTAGCCATCCAGAGACGTTAGTAATTGGACGGCATACCAATGTAATAAATAAATAGGTTGCAATGAACATACAACCGCAGACAGTGTTTCTGTATAAGGTTTCTGTTCTGAAGTTACATGACAGTGTTTAAAATACAGGATCAATTCATTACTGTTGTACTGGAGAGCCCGTGTATAGCTGGAGTGGGACTTGGGAGATCTTGGCTAGTCCTCACTCTGCCATGAAGCTCACTGGGGGACTTGGGGCCATTCAGTCACCCTGACCTTCATCATGAGGGTGTTGTGAATATAGAGTGGAGAAGCTCAGTATTCCTCACAAAAGGAAAAAATGACAGGAAATAAATGCAGTATAATAATATAAACATGTCCTACTAGATACGACAGTGCTGTTTGGGACTTTTGGTGAGCGAAATGTTGCATTACAAATGTCACAATTCAAACACATCTACTTTCTCTAAGGAAATTCTCAGGGTAATGTAGCAATAGCCAGCTTTTTTCAGCTTTATTTATTTGTTGCTGAAATGGTGTTGCAAATGCCAGATTTATTTTTAATTAGCCTTGAAACACACTTTGCTATTTATAGAAATTAAGATATATTTAGGGTATATTTTAATCACACATGAATACCAAAGAAATGTCAGGACTTCTATATTTGGAAGAGAAATAACTGAGGAGGTAGGATCAAAGCTATAGTCCCCTTGCTGTTTCATGCCAAAAATCTGTGAGATTTTTATTCCCTACTTACATGTTTCTTTTCCTTATACAAATTGTGCCAAATGCATTCTAGTGAAACTGTATGTAGTTTTGGCCTTTGAAAGAAAGTTACAACTGCTACAGGAGAAACCTTACCTCCACTTTATCTTGCAAGGTGAAATCAAGGGCTTTAACTAGACCCTCTAAGAAGGACATTCAGGATACCATTACCCTTAGCATTTCTGCAGCTATTGGATCATAGGAACCTGCAGCCGTCAAATGGGAATGTTGGTTTACGTTCTGTCATCTGTCTAAGCTAGGAGCATTCCATTTCCCCAAATAGAGCAAGTGCCATGCCAACAGTTTTTTTCCTCGTAATAATGGCAAGTTCTAGAATGCCAGCCTAAGTTTTCATTACCAGGATTTTAATGTAATTCAGTCAAGTATTCCGTCAATTCAGTCAATACTTTTGAGTTATATACCTCACCCTGCCTACACATACACAGTGTTCTGTGTTCTGTAATCAAGGTAGCAACCCTAAATACACACATACCTGGGAGTAAGCCCCACTGAACAGAATAGAACCTTCTATTGAGTAACATGGTTAGGATTGTGCTGTAAAGCAGTTTGCATTTTCATTTGAAGGTGGAGCGAATTTAAAAAATCAAATTGTTAATAGTACAGTTTTAGTCAGGATATTCATGTAACTAATTTTTCACATACTAGATGGAGACATCATTTTCTGCAGAGATCAATGACAGGATGTGGTCTGACAGAACCTGATGAACAGTTGGGAATGAGAGGAGATCAAAGAAGACAGAATGTAGAATGTTAGGTTTCAGATGCTCCTCCCTCCAAACCAGTCTGTCAGGAGGTCAACAACAATTTTCAGTACGTGATGCATGAAATGAACATTTGGACATGAATCATACCTATAAATCATACTGTGATCAACAAAAGACAAAGCGGAACCTCCACATTTATACATCTTATAGATTCTGTATACATAGAGAATCCCATAATGTAATATAGTCACGTCTTTCCTAGTTTGTGTATGTACAAATTGTTGTCTTTCAGTATTTTGATAGAACAAACCCTAGGGGTGGTTGGGAATTCTAATTTTTTATAGGCTCCCATTCACAGTGCATTATGATCTTTAGAAGAGGGCCTTCATAGAGTAACAGTAGTGGGAGAAATACTATTTGCAGTACACAAAGGAGAGGAACTTCTTTGTGATGGCACTCTGATTTTGGAATGCCCTCCCAAAGGTGATAAGATTGTCAATGATTTTGTTTACTTTTCTGTAGTAAATCGAAACCTTTTTGGCCAAGTGTTTCAGCATTTTGGTATGCTACTGTTTTTAACTGACTTGATCATTATGCAGCCTTATATGTACATTACCTTTATAATGCCAGTATTCGTCACTGTGACGGTTAGATTCAGATTTACATGGGGCCAACTGTCCTGGTGGAATTAGCTGTCTCCTCTCCTTACAGCAAGCCGTCCAGCCTCCTGAAAATGCTGCTCAGAAAGTCAGGAGACTAGGGGTGAGCTGTTGATGTACAGGAATGGGGATCCGGAAAGACAGAGATTCCCCCTCCGAGTGGACGAGCCTTTCCTCTTGTGGAAAGCAGATCCTGGATCCAGCCCTAAATCTGTTTAGGACAGGAGCTTTGCAGGTAGCCCTAGTCAACAACATGGCATCTTTGTGTTAAACATTTTCCATCAATTCCCTTTATGTGTTTCATTCTAGTTGGGAACAGAGCATTCCAAGAATGTATTAAAAGTATACAGAACAATAGTTAGGTCTGCTGGAAATTGGGCAAGAGGCCCGGGCTGTATGAATGCATATGCCGTGGACTGCTGTCCTGTGTGAGAGGCACATTTCAATTGTATATGTGAATGGCCTGTTTCTTCTCATGGTTTTGGTCATGTACATTATCAGATCTATAGCCCACCACGCAAGGTGAATATTTGAACCATTTCAGCTTGCAAATTGAAAAAATTAAGCAAACTAGAAATATTACAACATGAATAACAATATAAACTTAGAGTAAAACATGTAAAAATAACAAGAACGAGACCAATAAGAAACAAGAAAAATAACAATAAGAACGTAACTGAACAGCAACTGAAGAAAAATACTATAACCAGGAATGGAATAACTTTTTACCCATTTTTGTCTAGTAGATGGGGTTCAGGCCAATATTTCTTCCATAAGGCAGTTGGTTTTGTAGTAGGCCTCACTGGAAGATTTACTGTATTTTTCCATGTATAAGACGTGACTTTTTCTTAAAAACATTTACTTAAAAATGGAGGTGCGTCTTATACATGGGGGGCCACGGGTGTGCTGGGAGGGGGAAGCTGGCATGCGCGGGGGCAAGGGGGGGCAGCAGCAGCTTGCTCGCTGGAGATAGGTAGGAAAAGTGGGGGGTGTCCTATACATGGGGGCATCTTGTAGATGGAAAAATACGGTAACTGAATGTTTATATAGCACTTTGGGCA